AGTGGATCCATAGATGCTCCTGACAAGACAACCCCCAAATCTGAAAATAGTTCATGTTGTTCATCCATCCCTCCGTTTTTTGTTTTTTTGCTTTTTTTCTCTCTATAAAAAAGAAAGAATTGAGGAAGAAATTTCTTGTTTTTAGGCAGGAACAGTCCAGAGCAGAGCTGCTGCAGGTTGCTTCACAGCGCGCTCGCTGTCAATTCGTAAAAGAGCGAAAGGAAAAACCAAGCCAAATGTCAGCCAGCGGCAACACAAACACCCACAAAAAAGCAAGCCCTCCATCCATCAAATTTTTACCATTTTTTTCCCTCTTTTTTCCTGGATGAAAGGCAAGTTGTCGTACCCAATCGTATGAATCCCCGGGAAGGAAACGAAAAAAAGAACGAAAGAAAGTGTCAGCGGCGCGAGGAAATCCGGGAGTAAACCACCAGTCGCGCTGTTTAAAGCAGGGGTTTAGAGAGGTTTTAGGAAAAGATCTGCGCGTATAATCCGGAAGAAATTGTGCGTCCCCCGCATTCATCAGAAACAAATGCCGCAGCTCACACATCATCCACATCATCATCCACATCAAACACACCATCATAAGCATCGCCATGCCCATTCAATCTCTCCCCCTTTTCACTACCTTTTACTAGCATTTTTTTTCCTCTCGGATCGAAGGCCTCGAGGGGGAGTAGGAAAAAAAGTGGTTTTTTCTCCTCTCTCTCTCTCTCTCTCTCTCTCTCTCTCGTTTTTCCGCTGTTTTTACCCTGCGAGGAGAGGAGGGGGACGATGGAAGAGGAAGAAGAGCTCGGTGGCTATGGTGGTATGTATGGTATGTGATGATGGAGTGATGCGATGATGATGGGTGGGAGTGGTGGTCACTTGTGATCTGTGTTTTCTGTGTGTGTGTGTGTGAGAGAGAGAGAGAGTGTGCGTTACCTAGAAGACAAACCAAAACAAAAGGGAAGGAGAAGAGAAAGAGGAAAAAAAAAAAAAGAAGGAACAAGAAGACGCTGGAAAAGCATTCGTTCGGTCGCTCGCTCAAGCAAGCGGTGGGACGAAAGAAGAAAGAGGGCTTTAATTTTTTTTTAATTTTCTCTTTGGTTTCCTTTGGTTTGTGCTTCCGTCGCTTGGGCGAGGTGGAGGAGCGAGCGCTAGATCTGCAAGAGGGTGCTGCATTTCTCGGGTTTGGATTCTTTGGGGGGCGAGGCGAGGAGGAGATGGGGGACGATCACCCAAAGCGCAAGATGAAGACTCCATCGCAGCTAGAGATTCTGGAGCGAGTGTATGCAGGTATGGAGGATTGTTTTCAATCAGGGATTAAAGAAGAAAACGAGAGCAAAACAAAAGAGAAGAAAAGAATGAAAGCGAGCGAGCGAGGGAGGGAGCGGGGCAGGCATTGAGCAAAGAGAAAAGAAAAAGCTTGGATGTTTATTCTTTGTTTGCATTCATTCTAGATTATCACCGCAACCAGCATCACTGTTCCATTTGGTTTGGGTGTGCCGCGAGTTCTTTTAGCTATGGTTTCCTCGAGCTCGATAGGATCCTCTCCTTCTTTCCTGGCTGATGGAAAAAAAAAATCTTTCTTTGGTTGTGTAGAGGACAAGTACCCATCAGAGATTGTCCGATCGGAGCTCTCGCACCAGCTAAATCTCACGGACAGGCAAGTAAAGATGTGGTTTTGCCACCGGCGCTTAAAAGACCGCAAAGGTTCTACCACCACCACCACCACCACCACCACGACTAGCACCGAAGAAACCCGACACAAGAAAAACCAGCAAAGGATCCATCCTCAATACCAACTTGATCACCACCACCACTTACTTCCGCCGCCGCCACCACCAGCGCCGCCACCTCCGCCGCCGCACCACCACCATCCCGGCCTGTCGCTCGACTTTGGATCGCCAATGCAGCAGCAGCAGCCAATGCGAGTGCTCCCGATCGCCACCGCCGCTCCTCACAACTTTCTCGATATGATGCATCCCGAGGAGCGAGCTTTTCATATGAGGCAATTGGCGAAGAGGGACTTGGAGACGAATGGTGGCCGTGGTAGCGCGTACCGGAGGCTGGGACTCCACAACGTAAGTCCTCTGGATTGCCGGTTGAGTGTGAGTCCCGAGGTGGCGGCCATCAGGCTGGTGGAGGAGCAGCTCGGCGAGCCGATGAGAGAAGATGGTCCCATTCTTGGCTACGAGTTTGATCCTCTTCCACCCGGTGCTTTCGATACTCCAATCGGTACGTATCATCGATCTCTTTGCTTTAGTTGCTTATCTTTCTCGCTTAGAGCACGGAAGTCAGTATCCGAGAAGCCAGTTCGCTACTCCGGAGGGAGTTTACAACAGCGAGAGCAAAGCTCACGCTCGTCACGAACCAAAACTTGGAAGAGTGAGTGGATAGCACTAAGCATACTGACTGATTCAAAACTTTGTTTTTGTAGCAAGCACTCGGTTCCTCGGACTTTTCTCCATCCCCGGCGACTTCGTCCAGCAAGAGGAAGAACAGCTCTTCGTCGCCGTTTCTTCCACTCGCGACTGTGCCGCAGTCTCCGAGAGTTCCTCACGAGCACCAGTTCATACCCGAGCATCCGACTGGAACTGGCGCTCACTTTTACGATCGATCCAGCTCCAAGCAGCAGCAGCAGCAACCACAGCAGCAATCTCTCGAACTTAGCACACGAATCTCTCCACTTTCGTTCTTGCCACCCGCTGGAGTGGAGACTTTTGGAAATGGCTTTTGCACCGAGAGCCGGCAAGCTCCGACGCTTGGACTTGGCTTTCCGCCGCCGAGCGACATGAGATTTCCAGCGGACTTTTTGCCACGAACCGGTATGCCATTTCCACCACCCGAGGTTCAACTTTTGCCACCAGTTCGTCCGCCAATGAGCGAGAAAGCCATCGCTGGTACCGAGAGATTGATAATGCTGCACGAGCAGGAGCAAGCCCGTCTCGAGAGGAAACGCAAAGTAAGAAAAACTTGGATTCGGTCCTTTCTCTGCTAAATCCTTTCTCTACCAGGCCGAGGAAGCTCGAATCGCGAAAGAGCACGAAGCACAGGATAAGCGGATGAAAAAGGAAATGGAGAGGCAGGAGGCAATGCGGAGAAAGGTTTAGTTTTGTTTCTTTGGGCCGTGATGGATTTTACTGAGTGAGTTCGTGCTTTTGTATATTTCTTAGCAGAAAGAGGATCAAGAGAGGAAAGAGTCGGAGAAAGTTCACAGGGAGAAGCAAAAGGAGCTTGAAAGGCTGGCTCGGGAGAAAGCTCGCGAAGAGGAGCGCCTCCAGAGGCAGCACAAGAAAGAGTATGAGCGCATGGAAAAGCTATTGCAGAAAGAAAACCAGCGAGTAAGTGTTTGGTTTTTCGTTTCCAAGTTCACTCCTGGACTTTTGTGTTACACAGGTTGCAAAGCTTCGTCAAAAGGAAGAGATGAGACGAGAGAAAGAGGCCACGAAGCTGAGGGCTGCTTACGAGCGAGCCACAGCGAAAAAACTTGCCAAACTTTCAACGGGGCTTATCGATGACGAGCAGCTGGAGCTGATGCAAATGGGAGCTTTTGTGCAAGGACTTATCTCCGGCTCTGAATTTGATCCAAACAAGAGTAAGAAAATGACACTCTGGTGAAAAGTCTTACACGTTTCTTTTTACTCGTTTTTCTTGCTGAAAACAGTTGAATTGCCGATGTTTCCTCCTGCTTCTGTCCGCATGAAACCACCTATTGGAGTTCCTCCCTGGAATGACTCAAATCACAACGTTGCTAACCTCTTCATGGTATACTCGTGGTTTTCTAGTTATCCTTTGTGTCATACAAAACGTCCTCTCAGGTGTGGAGAATGCTCACTAACTTCGCAGACGTGATTGGTCTGTGGCCATTCACTCTGGATGAGTTTGTACAGGCGCTACATGACTATGTAAGTGTGATGTTTCTCTTTCGCTCCTAACTCTACTTCGTTTTTTCTTCAAGGATTCGAGA